TCAAAAAAAGTAGTCGAAGATGAATATTCCACGCTTTCAGGACTTAACGATGGTAATGGTTGCATACTGGTGAACGTTTCAACCGTGGACGTGGTTATCACATTGTTGACATAGTCGACATCGTCTTTTTGTTGTAGCAGATGACGACCATGTGTTTGAACGGAAGGCTGATCAAATTCCACGTGATCGGAAAACAAATCTCGCCGACGTGAACTATGCGGAAATTCATCCTCGAAGAATGTCGAAGGCGACGTCATGGTTTCCTCTTTCGTCACTAAAAGGTACGGACCATGACCGTCAATGGTCGCAACCGCGATCGGTGTTCGCGCTTCCTCCTGCAGATTCATGGTTGTCGAATTCGGCACGAGCGTAGATGACTCGATGATCGATGGATCTTGCTTTGCCTTGAAGTAATCCCAAAAGAGCTGACTATAATTGATCGTCGTAGGCTCGTCGACTTGTTGGAACGAAGCTGTTGTGAACGAGGGGATATAACGTAAAGTCGTCTGATCGATGGAATACATCTGCGAGTTTAGAGAATTTTTCATAAAACCGTGAGGAATTGCCGATGATTCGACATTAGTTAAACTTGCTTCTTCCAATGGAAGCACGGTTGTCTCGTGATTTTCCTTCTCTTGTTCTAATTTGCGCAATTGTTTCATCGTTTTACTTACATTATTGTCTTTTCCATTTCGCAATTTGGATTTTTTCTTATTCGTTTTGATAGACTTATTTTCGTGTTTTACATTATCATCAATGTTATCTTCATTATCCAATTCCGAACTGTCAATTTTGACGTCATGGTGGAGTTTCGATTCTTGTGTATTTTGATATATCTTCGAACTCATTTCAGCTTCTTCAGCATCCTTCTCTACGTCTTCTTCCAGTTTCTGAATGTTATTCTTAGCAATAAATTTAGGATCTATCTCAGATTTCTCCCAGCTGTTTCTGTCGTATCCTATCAGATTATCTTCATCATTCGCCTCCTCTAACTTCCTACTTTCTTGTAAATGATCTTGATAGTCTTCTTCGTATTCTTTGAATTCATCAGGCATCAAATTCTTATTTTCCTCTTTCTTCTTTTTTCCACTTAGAGAATTTTTTTCACTTTTCTTACGATTGTGAAGTTTACGCGCAAATCCTTCATGAAAATCAGCATCTCTAATGTGTCCTGCGTGATCGTAAGCTGAATCCTCGTATCCTTCCTCGGTGTAAACCGTGTTAACTTTTGTATTTGTAACAACTTCCCTCAATCTGTGTGCATTGAGCTTCTCTTCATCGGTCTCCGCGCTTTCGACTGCCTGCTGCAGCGGTAATCTTTTCACGGTGTGACTCCCTCGGACCTGAGCATGCAGCTTTGTCGGTACAAAATCTAGAGTGATATTTTTTTCAGGTGGTGGTTTTGCCCAGATTCCGGGAGCCACGTATTTTGGTTTAGTAGGCACGTCTCCAGTCTCTTCGTGTTCCGAATATGATATCGAATAATCTGAAGGTTCTTCTGGGTCATCATTTTTCCTGGTGTGCTCTTTACGTTGATAAAATGGCAATGTATATTGATTTAGAACGTTTTTTGTTTCCGAAGAAACAAGTATTTCTTTTGCTTCTACACTTGTTGAAGTTGGCAAATAGATCGTGGAATCTTGATAGATTGTTGTGGTGTTCAAGGGCTGCAACCAGACGTGATTGGTAACTTTATCACCATCGGTGGAATTAATATTGTTTATAATAGTATTAAGATTCTGATTCATTGATGTCACATGATGGATACTGACAATCGTCAGAACAAAAATAATAACTAGATTACAGGTTTTTTTTTGCTGCTCCATTTCTTTGAATTGTTCTTCGCTTCATAGCACTATCAAAATGAAAAAGTATTGTTAGACATGTGACTAACAATAACAATTAAAGTGTAAAGAAAAGTTTGCGTACTGCACATCTTCACAATTATTATGCTGAATATTAGTACTGAAACATTAATATTAAACATTTAACATTAATGTTTAAATATTAGAAATATATACAGAAAGAATTATTTTTTGCTGAAATATCTAAAAATTTTAATAGACACAGGTTTGAAAACGATTTTATTAGATCACTAAAATAAGTATGTACGAAATTCAAGCGTAATAATCAGATCGGTATTTGTTACTAAATTTTTAGATACTTTAGCAAGACCGTTATTCTTTCCATGTACATCAATTATTAATTGTAATATTTAAGAGGAGGTAATTATTATTTTAATCACAAACTATATCAGTGATCGTGTAGAATGGCACCGAATATCAAATTCGCTTTTCACAACGAATTGTAATTCAGACTGTTCACAGCAGTGGAAGACACTAATAACTTGGTTGTTAAAGAACGCGGATTTTACGGACAATAGGTGATGCTTATCAATTTACGTTTGTCGCGTCAAGGAAGAGAAAATCACGATGTACGTGCAAACTGCAGATGTAATTTCTAATCATCTTCGATCGAGGTCTTTCGTCAAACTGGCCGGCAGTACGGGCCGCATGGCCTAATTTATATTTTCCAACCATCGGAAAGAAGAGGTAGGGTGAAAAACGTTAGAACGATTAGATACCCTGCTCTGCGAAGCGTGCAGATCCGATCGTTCAACGATTCTGTTACTCTCGATTGGATTCGTTCGTCAGGCCGTTTCACCTAGACGTCTCTCTTCTCCAGTTCGCGTATTAGAAACTCAGACGTATAGCTATTCATTGTACCCCAATTACTATGCACTCGTACACTTCAATTTAAGGCGCGATCATGAGTGTAAAAGACGCGTGACAGGAGGAACGTGTCGCGGTAATCGAGCCAAGTGCGTCGCTATTGACACAGAGTAGAAGAACAAGATGCACCAGGAGGCACGAGAATGCACTATGGGAATATTCATCAGAACAAGCATCGTGTGATTTACTTCGTTCAGTCAACTGTGAATGGTTCGTTTCACCGGTTGCGTTCTCCACTCGTCTTGGTATGGCGATTGTCTCCCGCGTCTTTCCGCGTTGGGCCGCGAAGCGTATCGCTCGAGCTACGGGACTTTCTTCGCTTCGACGAGTCCGCGAGAAAATTATCATAGAACGTAATTTCCATTTTCAGAGCAGCTACGAGCGTGTTTAAATAGATAAGTGCAGGGGTGTGCCTAGTGAGCGTGCAATACGTGCTTTAGCATGTAGACGGTTAAAGTAACATCTAACTCTGACTAAAAGTGACGCTTCTCGTATTTAGGTGATGTTCTCATATAAACAGTCCTGTTCCTAATTTGATTTTTACATTTAGATATTTTGTTGTTAAAAACCAAATCTTTAGATTTATAATTAAGAGCATCAGTTCAAATAATTTAATGCACAAACATAGTCAATTGTACTAAACAATACTATTTCATCATCCTTAACCTTACGCCGCAATATAATGCTTTTCATGAAGATGAGAATGTAATTTTATACGTTATTATATCATAAGAACAAGGCATACATAAAAGGTGCATATGCATTTAAATATCTTAGTGCTATATATAATAGTAAGACTGTTAATTTAGTACATCTAAAGTACTTTTTTGACATTTACAGTATAATATGTGTTCTGTAGTATGTTATATATTGTTCTGTTTGATAAAGACTAAACTTTTATATAATAATCGAGTTTTATTTTTATTTCTAATATTCGAGTAATAAACCAAAACGATTTCAATTTTAAGCAATCATCTATAGCGCAACTTAAATTAAAAAATCAAAAACATAAAAGAGAAATTACTTTTCGATCTTTCTAGTATAAAACTTTATCATAAATCTCAACGTTTTGTCTAAGATTGATATTTAGTCACGCGCTTGCTAATGTTATTTCTTTCTTCATTGCAATAAAAATAACTAAGTTTGTACTCTCTAAGTTGTTTCAAAAATGCAATTTAAATTTTTAAAAGACTCAAGTATGTAATCTTAGATAAGTACATACGTTTCTTCGAATTCTAGGAAGGATTAACAGAAATCAAACCATGACAACGATAAAATAAACATAATTCTCTCCTGTTTCTACTTTGCTAGTGAGCACCTTGTAGAAAAGTCTTTACAAAACATACAACTACGAGAACTTTAGCTTTCTCCATTTCTATAAGGATGCGGTTGGATTACAATAAAATCTTTAAATTTTGCATAAAATAAAAATTTAAATATATGTATAATATATCGCGATATATTAATTATTGTAAAATTTTAAATTAATTTAATTACAATTAATTGTCATATGATCCGTTTTGAACGAAAATATAATTATTCCTCTTAATTGATTTATTCTTGTCTGTCTAATTTTGAATTACAATTGAATCAGTTCAAACAACTAATAGGTGTTAAGATTAAAAAAAGAACAATCTAAGAATACTTTATTGGTGATACAAAACACAATCATATATCGTAAACTCCTTAAGTATATTTTATAAATAGAAAGAGGTAACAATTAATAAATATCAGATCGAGAGACGAATGTCTTCTATTCCAAGTCCGAAAAAAAGTGAAACAATCATTGCATCTACCCATTTTGGCCATAATACTAACATCTATTTCAATATCTTTTTACTATTAGTATACGAAGAATATCTTCAAGCAATATTCAAATAAAAATTTACTTATCACTTACCATATCTTCGCATAACCTAGTTAGGCGATAAAGGGTAACTAATTAGATAAAGTATCTATATTTAAATTTATATAATAATACAAAGTGTCTTCTAAGATATTTAAATTAAAAATGTAGGCTAGTCTTTATAAAATTTTAATTAAATTTTAGATTCTTTTTTCTTTTGTTTAAACCAGCCAACATAGAAAAGTCTCAGAGGCACATAAACAATGAACATGTTACCGCATAAAACTGTATTTTCTTTTAGGAAATACTACTCTCTCACGATCGTAGATATCAATGTAAGACACGCGAATTTCGCGAAACACGTGATTTGGAATCTTCATTAAAGTAGCATGTCAGGTACTCCGAAGGAAGAACACTAGGATTTAAGATATCATCGGCTTCCACGCGTTATTGTCGCTTTGGACCGGTGTCGGCTGGGTGGCGAGTTGCGGTTCTGCGGATTGCAACATGGAAGCCTCCGGCTTGAAAAAGTCTATAATTGGGTGATAGTTGTAATTGATTCTTCTTTGTGGCTCTTGGTACTCTTCGTCAAAACCTCCGTTCTGCAGTCTTGACGTGGCATCTACGTCCTGATCGTATGGCTGGCTATATCTAAAAAATAAATTTCTAATAGCTTTAGGAATTTCTAATAAATTTCAATTATAAGATTAATTCATAACTGTTATAATATCTGGCACAGATTATTTTCCTGTCAAATCTAAATGTCACATAATCTGATAGAGATTATTTCTCTCTCTCCTGTAAAAATATTTTATAAAATTAAAAAGATACTAAACTGTGGTAAGATAAAAGTATTGCTCGTTACTCACCGGTTAGTCGTATTACGGGAAGTCTCCGTGTAATCTTCGTGCGCGGTGGATTCTCGTCTGAAAGGTGGCCTGTTGAGTCGATTGGGCCTGCTGCTCTTGGTCAATGGTCCTTTGTAACCTGGTGCTCGCGTATTGGGCGCATGCTGTTGTGGTAATTTGTCGTACGGCCGCGGGATAGGCGAGGGCTTTTTCGGTCTGGTTCTACTGCCAGGCAAAGTAAAGCTGGGTCTACTCGTCGGATTGATCTCCACCACCGGTTTCTTATTGCTGGACACTGAAGGAAACGAGACGTATTCGCTGAGGTTGCTCAATGTAGGCGATGGCGAGTGATTCTGAGGTAAAGTACCGTGGCTGGAATCGAAGTTTAAGCTGGGAGTATACTTGGTAATATGATTAAGGACGATAGCCTTGTTAAGATCTTGAAAATCGTCCTTCTGGTCGTTGATCGAAGCGAAATCAGCGCCTGGAAACGTTTCCTTGGGCTTTATCGGAGGATCCTTTTGATGCGGCGGAAAGATCTCGGCGTAGCCGTGCACGTGACAACTACAACAGGTCGGCACTTTGAATATGTCCATATGAAGTCCTAGTTTCTGGTCCCAGGTCAGCAATCTGTGGTAGTTATAGATTTGTACGCAGGAAGAACGATAGTTTTCTGAGATAAATGAGCAACTTGATTGTGGATTGCTGTAAAGAAACATACACATTAAATATTATTAAATATTACTGTATTAAAAAGAATTTTAAAATACACATTAAAAAGAAAATAATTATATACTGTTAAATATTAAAAAGTCAATTTTTTAAATTAATTCTTTGAATTAAATAACATTTTATTTTTAACTTTCATATATATCATATAATGTATTATTTTAATATATGCATTTTAAATCCTACGACTAAAAAAAAGAACGATTACGTCTAATCAATTCACATATTTCTATAGTTAAATTAGTTTCAAAGTAAACAATATTATTAGTTACTTGTAAATAATGAACTAAAATTTGAGTTAAATATAATACATTTCTTGAATTAAAATATCTAACTCTATTGATTTAGTTTAAATTAACGACATATTGAGTAGTGATTTATATAGAAATGATTAAAAATGACTCAAATTGAGTATATAAATTGAATATAATTTGACAAATTTATTTAATACATGTATAATTTTTTTTCAGTTATGTGTTGTCATAAGAATATTCGCGCGAAGAGTGGGGATTGGTTGACAAGCGCTCCGCCGCCCGCGCCGCGCACACCACCGCTAGCCCCCAAACGTCATGACTTGAACGGCGCGCTTGCCAGGCCGTCCCGCAGCTTCCCGCGGCCCGCGCGCCCATCGCGGCGTTCTGTAGGCGTACATTCAATGTGTGGTAGGCCGAACGGACGCGCGTATTCGCCAATCTTTAAAAATTAATATCTCGTTAACTATTGCTGCAATCTCAAAATGGTACAGGACTTTTCGACTCAGTTCGGTCTACTCTACCTGCTCATGATAGGTGATTCGCTCGATTAATGACACCCTGTATATTAACTTTAACGTAATTATAACAGGCAAATATTTTATAACTTTGGTACCCTTTATTTAGTTTTTTAAATGGAATATTACACAAAATTAAATTAACGTCCAAATAAATTACTTTTTTTCCGAATAAAATAAATATGCCATACTTACGAACATTTCTCCAATCGTATCGTCTGGGTGTGTTCACCTGTGTTTATTATATACTTCCATACTCCGGAAGCAGCTCTTGCTAATTGTGGGCGAGCATATTTGACAGTTGATGGACAGGTGAAACCCTCCTCTACGTTGTCGAAGGGATTGTCAGATCGTCTGAAAGAAAAAATATGTAATAAGTAATAAAAATAATTTTCATCGATTGTAAAAAGATCTAATTTTTTAGTTATCAATCTTTTTATCTTAATTTTTTGCCTTATTTATAATTTATTTTAATCAAATTTTTAATCAAATATAAAACATGCAAGAAAATTATATATATGTGTGTATATAAGTATTTAAATAAATATATATCTAATATATATTTTTAGACAAAAGTTTCTATATATATATAGACGCATCATTTTTATTTATTTGAAGTCAATAGAAATGTAAAATTAAATTAATATTCTACAATAAAACTTGTAATTTTTAACTAATAAAACTTAATATTTTTTGAAAGTTAAATCGAAATATAGATATTTTAATTACCTTTTAATTTCATTATTCTCGTATCTGTTCTCGTATTTATTTTCCAACGGTAGGGCGCTTGGCAATTTTTCTTCCGCGCTTCCGTCTTGCGCTTTATAATCGGTCAATAATGCGGATACCATTTCCTTATTAGACCTTAAACTTCTTATTATTGCTTCGCTAGAAAGTTATTAACGGTTATAAGGCCGCTTAATGCTTTTTCGCGAAAGCAAAAAATAATAGCAATATTTTCTCCAATGTAAAAAATTTCTTTTATGTTTATTTCACTACTTATTCGAAGGACTAGGAATGATAACTTCGAGTAATGAAAATTTTAAAGAAATTTAGCAGGAAATGCCGACGAAATGATATTGCAATTGTTCATAGTTTCGTAACAAGTCGATTAGTGCAAATTATCTATTTGTAAATAAAATAATTAAGAAATTTAAGAAACAATTCAATAATTCAATAATAATGCACTTTTTTTCTAAATTTTTAAGAATTCTGTAATTAAATGTAGATACTTTGTCCAAATTTTACTAATTAAAAATCTACCATACACGATTAATACTTTATTTATCTCTAGAATTCGATCGCAGTTATTTTGATACTCTCGAGAAGAGGAGACGCGGAAAGTGAAAATCGCTGGCCTGCCAATTAAGACGAGCCAGGCGATTTTAATCTCGGTCGTATGCAAATTGTCGCGTAACAATGTTCGTCATTAATTCAATGCCGAAACGAAAGTTCAGGGCAGACTCACTGCGGATAATCGTTGGCCTCGAGACACACCGTCTTCGTGAAGAAAGTGCATTCGTTTTCCGTAGGCCTCCTCTTCGGATCATTCGGCCGTTTAGTTGGTCGCATCACAGGGGGCCTCGATAAACCTACGGAAATCATTAACGATTATTTTGTGTCATTTTTGCGATTCATGTTTATCGATTACTGACCTGTGTAAACATTCCTCCTGTTTGGAAGAGGCGGCCTTAAGGGTCGCATTGGTTTAATGATTATAGGCCGTCGTCGCTCTTGTGATCTAACTAACCGCAGCTCTTGAGCCTGCAATTTAAAAAATTTGCTTATAAAAATTTTTATAAAATTAATATTATTATACATATTATCATTTGTTATTGATTTCTATATATTTTAATGATTGAAATTATGTTAACATATTATTTAGTAAAAACATCCATTATTATTCGTTTATTGATCATTATTCTCTTTTTATTGCTTTAAATATTTAATGTTATATTATAATTAAATTAGAAACTAAAACTTTAGAACATTACTATTTGCAAATTTTTGAATGGCATATTAGCGGTATCTCATAAAAGATCTATGCTATGCATTAAAACGTGCATTTAATAAATGTACTTCGGCAAAATGGTTATTTAATGTCGTGAATTAAAACAGGTTACTTTATTCTTATATTATCAGATTTATTCGTAATACATCAAAAAATTTTTATTTCATACGAAAGAGAGGAAGACTTTCACCTTAACATGTTGTTCAATATGATGAAAAGGATTAACATAATTGTAGTACTCAATCAATTGTTAATTATACACTCTACTTTTATAATTTTAACGATGTTTAATTTATATTTTTACTTTTGTAATTTTAAAATTACTTTGTATTGATTTTGACTTCATTACTTTGATTTCTTTAAATTACATTTATTATGTTTTATGTTAGTTAGTTGTCCATATTAATTTTCAATTTATTGTGTTTTTGTTTTCGTGTTTTAATAATTTAATTTATATAATCGCGACTGAAAGAACTTTGTTAAGATGAAACTTGTCTTATGGCCCTTCGTTTATTTCTTATGTTTTGTCTTATTAGTGCAAATATTAAATTTACGATTGTTCTCTGTAATTATAAACACCTACAAATATTGTCCGTATGCACTGACCTTAATGATTGTTTATCTAAACTCCATGTATCGCGCGTTTAAAATCATCATAGATTGGAAATAATTTTTTTTTTCATATATTTTTTATCATTTTTATCTTAAATATAATTTAATAAATAATTTAATATCTTAAATTAAATACAATGTAAAATTCTGTCTTGCTTAAATAAATGAATGCGTCGTAGATTATTTGGCAAAATATATTAAAGTGGTTCCACACTTAAAATTGGACTTTTATCTAATTTCAAGCACTCTCTCTATAGAGTCTTCAGAGAAGAAGATCGCTGTAACACCGCTTATCTATTCTCACGCAGAATAAATCAACATCCGCCTATATCCGTTCAAGTCGCTCGCTAATTAATGTCCAGAATGGAAAGTCGTTCTGTTCGCGCGATATATCTGGCGGTATATACTAACCGCGACACTGCCACTCACGAGATTCAAGAGATGGTCCTTGCGACGAGTCGTCGCAATAAAATATGTCGAACACGTGAAAGTACTTGCATAAAAGGCGCTATTTAAAGGCTGCTCGATACAAGTGAAACCATACGATGCGCCCATTCTAAATCCAAGAATACTGTAATCTAAGCTCAATGAAGATTCGACAAATGTTATTCCTTTGAACCATGATGTCAAAAGTAAATTCGAATAACTGACGGAGCTTGCGAGAAGAAAGCAAATACAAGACTAAATTTCTTATAAAATATATGCATTATATGATAATCTATATTGCATAATAAGATATTTTAAAAATATATGTGCGATGAAGTAAATGAAATAGTAATATATAAATAAAAATTAATGCGGGTTTTTCTAACTCTTCTTATTATAGAATGTCTTGGCCCTTTTTATTACTATATAGATAGTTATCATTTTCAGATATTATATTTCTTGTTTTTCAATATATTATTGTTTTGAAAAAAGATATCATGAATTTATTTTTATTGCACGAAAGAACAATTTTACTGAAATGTCTAAAAATTTAACTAGACAATGATCTAAAATTAATTTTTTTTGTTGAAATATAAAAATGAAATATAATCAAAATAATTATGTAGAAAATTCAAGCACAATGAGCGTTGCAATGCTGTAAAAAATTCGAATATTCCAGTTTCAGTCCTATCTAATATAATTTTGATAGTTTAACAAAATTGTTTTCAGATTTGTATCTAGCCAAATTTTTAGATACTTTATCAAAACATTTCTATTTGTGAATAAAATAACTTTCAATATATAAAAAATAATTAAAATAATAATAAAATAATGATCATAATATAAAAGTGTTTAATTAAGATTTGATTTAGTTGGGCGTAAAAATAATGCATCAATTTAGAATCTGTATAAAAGTAATCAAGGATCTACGTATTTAAGGCGCAAATAAATTCAGACATCAACTCAATAGTTTAGAAATCGTCATAAAGCACGAATCTATTAGTGACTGCATATACCTATATATAAAAATATTTATAAGCGTTGCCAGGAAAAATATACATATTTATTAACTGGTGGGATAAATCTCGCTGAAATTTACGACAAAGTGAACACATCAAACTCCGACTTTCTACCGTTCTCCGATAGTAGGAAAAAGTCGATGCGATAGATTATTTGTGCGCAATCACGTGTACCACGTAAAGACAATAAGTACTTATTATTTTTTTATCTGTACGTGTCCGCTCTTGAACTCACTTCAGGTAAAGCCTCGGGCATCTCGTCCTCGTCCTCCTCCTCGCTCTCCTCGGAATCGGAATCGTTGGATATGATCTTTGCTATATCCATGCTGATTGGTAACATCAGATCCCTGCTCGCGTTTTCTCTGTTTCCACCAAGCAGAGACTGGACTTCCTCAAGTGGCGAAGAGGTTGTGTCGTTATTGGATATTCTAGTGGAGATTAGAGTTGCCATTGCCAGCTTTTGTGGCTGCGACATGCTACGTATTATTGGTATTACCTCGCCGATTTGTTCCCTCTTCTCCGGTGTCTTCATCGCCTATAAAAATAAGGAGAATTAGTATTTTACTTACGTAAAGCCAATGACTACAGACATAGATCTAAATAATAAATTAACTGTACCCAGTATAATCTATTTACACTGAAAAAAGTAAGATCGGTTCGCTAAAAATAGACTTTTTGTAAACAGATCACTTTAACAAATAACTCTATTTATTTCAAAAGCAATTTTTTAAAATAAAGAACAAAAAGATTGATTTATAAAACAACCTTTTAGTTAGAAAAATCAATTTTTCGCAAAATAGATCGATTAAAATCACTGTTGTTGTTTTAAAAGATCGATTAAAAAAAATGATACTGTATAGTTAATTGTATTGAAAATATAAATAATGATTATTTTGATTTTTTTATAAATAATGACCTTATTAAATTATATATATACATGTATATACACAAACGTACATATATTGGCTACTAGGTCACGTGGGTACAGTTACCTTATCTTATTTTACTGATTAATCTTACGAAGATGTAGATAAAATAATTTATAACATTCTATAATATATTACTATTTATTCATTTAATCAAATACAATATCTATTAATCTGTCAGGCTTTAAGTGCCACGAATTTTTTTTTCATATACAGACTTTTACGTTTTCTTCTTTACAATCCATATTTTACGAAAAATGAAGAAGATATATTAGATGAATGTCATTCGAAAGTCCTCCATGCAAACGTGCCCACTCACGGATGCCACTATTCCTCGTACTTTACTCGTCCTGTTTTTGACGTCTTCATCGGCGAGCTTGAGAGACGTTGATAACTTCTCCTGAGTTTTCTCGCCATCATTGGCCTTATCGACATTGTCGGTGTTCTTCTTTTCGGCATGGATTGGGGACAGTAGCACGACTGCCTAGAAAATAAAATGAAACTTAAATCATTTAATATTATAAAATAAAAAATTACACGCCGCGTATTGCGATACATATTTTTTTAATTACCGTTGATAATATTAGTAGATAATTTAATAATTACATCTCTTTAAGCGTTATATTCAGCGCATTAATAATTCTAGGATTACATTATGCATTATTACGTCTGTATCTGCCTAATTAATTGTCAGAAGTGTTAAGAGGATGTTATCTAATTCTTGTTAATACGGTAAATTACAATTAACACAGTTATCTAGGAAGTCGCGGTTGATGCGAATCAAAAATATAAATTTTCATAAGCGAATTAAACAGAATGTTAATTAACTTTGATACATTACTAATTAGTGGACGTCGTTCGAGAGACGCCGATTTAATAGAATCGCGAGTGAAAACAGCGTGTGCGTGGTTCAGCGCCGCGGAGACAATAAAATGCAACTTCCGGAAAGAACAATCGTAACGAGTGTGCAAAGCCGCTATACATAGCCGCGAGTGAACTGCAAGGAAGCGTAAATTACGTTACACGTATCTCTCTTGTTTGCCAAGAGCGTGGACCGATTATCGCGCAAGAGATCTTTCCTCTTCTTTTTTTTACGAGGAGGAAGCCCGTCCAGAGAAACGTGTCGGCTACGAGGGTTACGTTTGTTGCACCGGAAGCGCAGTGGTTGCAATGAGCTTTCGTATAGGACGCAAGAGATCGCATTGCGATTCTACGCAATCGTCGATAAAGGAGCGTCTTAACAATACCGTCGCGAAAGTATTATGCAGATTTCATGCCTCGGTAAATACGAGACTTGACTTGATAACTTCAATATGTAATTTATATGTATATCATTTTTGTGCGCCAAGACTTGGATTTTCAGTGAAAGTAACTGACCGTCAGTTTTATTTAAGTTGACTCTCGGCAACCTGTAATTGAGCGATTTGATGAATTTATTCTTCGATTTAATTATTTTCAACTAAACGAGTTAATTATTATGAATGAGAGATAATCACATTGAAAGCTAGTCATTAACTGTAAACGCTAGATTTATACCCGACGTATTAATGAATAGGTGCAATATTAAATTTATTGGTGCTTAAGTTTCATCAGTGTTCGTAGATCGGACCGGATATTCTTATAATTATCATTAATTAATTTCTTATTGTGTCTAATGGAATAAAATTGTTTTGTATATATGTTCGAGAATATCTCTTCTCGATACTCTAATAAAAAGGCAACTTAGTTTCGCTAAAATACAATCAAGCAACAAATGTAGGATACAACTATGTACGTGAGAATATATTAACCATATGATGCACGCGATGCAATATACGCCTTCAATTCTAAGAAAGCCCACTTCTCAGCTTTAACATAACGAAGAATGCTTCGACTATTGTTCAGTTTATTAAAAATGTATTTCTTTTTACTTTGGTGAAATGGTGTGAAACTGTACGGTGCTTGTAAGCAAATTTGTAAAAGTAAGAAATTTCACGAGAAAGAAAGAAAGATCAGTTATTACTTATCTTTATCAAAGATCGAGTTATTTTTTGCTCTCGCTTATTGTTAAAGAATGAGGAATTTGGCCAAACATACATTAGGAGAAAGGCGTTTGGCATTTGTGAATATAAATTGCATAGTAAAATAATTATGGCAAAAATTCTATTTTTATAAATTACAGTCATTTTATAGGTCAACTATATACTTTTTAAATATAATTTATTAATATAAATATAATAACTATTATATTAACTATTATATTACTATATATATATTGTATTAATATCATAGCGATAATACAAACATAAACATATAGAGCTTCTAACCATAAAATTATTTTATCATGCAATTATAGTTACAAATATATCAAATATTTTTCTTTCAGTGCAAAAATAAAAATATAAGAGAAATTGAATTAATTTGACGGTCCTTTTTTGTTATATGTTCTTACGTGCTTCTTTTACTCCTATTAAGATTAAAGATTTAAACTATTTTGCTGGTTATTTTATAATCGTAACGACCCAATAATCGTCGACACACGAGTAGAAGATTTCACTGATATTCAGTTTTCAACAATGAGAGCAAAATCGCGTGACTGCGTTTAAGCATTTCGTGACGGGTGTTTCGAGTTAGTTTCCATATTTATCGCAATGATGAAGAGCCTTTCGCAAATTCTCGCGCGAGAGCGAACTCGGTATTCCAGTACATGTGCGAAGCATCCATTACTTTTCCTCATTCCAGCAAGCGGCTGGATCAAGGTCGCAACAAAGGTTGTTCCACTTTGGACCAGGTAAACTGACATCATACGGTCAAGAAACTGAAGGAATCGGACACTTCATTCATTCCAAGATAACAAGTAAAACTGTCTTAATGCAGTTAAAAGATTAATGATCTTAAATGTAGTTATTGATAAAAAAACACTAATGACTATATACTATAATTATTCTTTAATTATCTCATTGGTTTAAATATGCTTTAAAAAAAAAATTTGGATATGATTTAAAATATATAAAAATACTATAATTATTAGATATTGAAGTTCCTTGCGCATTTGTTCGATTAATTGTTACACGATTAGAAGAGATAAGAGGCGTTAAAAGTATTAAAACTAGAAATATTAAAGGATCATTTAATAGGAATAATTAAATTTAAGAATAGCAATAGGAAGTTGTACTACATACTTTTAATCAGTCATAAAAATTAAAATTAAATATATGTTGCTGAAAGAAAAACAAATCTTACCAGCAGCACCCAGCATGACTGTCCTATTATCATCCTAACAAACCACTAGACTCATCAACAGTTTTAGTATCAACTGGTTTGCAATTATCCCGGATTTCACTGTCACTACCACTGCAATTATATATATATATATATTTGTCAATCTCTCAACACTATTATAGAACAGTATCATTAAACACTCAACAAAAGTATTTTCTTCACAAATTATTTTCGATTATGCTTGCGGAGCCTTTTGAAAAACAAATCAAACCTAGATATGAAAACGACTTCCTTCAGAGAAGAATCTCTCGGTACCGATATTCGTTAGTCAAATCCACTTGCTGGCGATCTGCTCTTTGAACTGGCGCGAAACGTCAGCTCTCTCGTGGCGGTAGAAGACGAAGAGCCTCCCCGCGCGGTCCACGTGGGGATAATGTAGGAACACGGGATCTTCCCCTCGTGCAGCCGTGACCGAGAAAACTGGACGGTCGTCGGGTTGGTGGATAAGCGTGTCGTATCGGAGAGAAGGAAGAAGTCGGCCAGCCGAGCTCCTCCTCTCCGTCCGAGCGAGAGAGCGCGGCTTTACTCTCGGTCAATAGATTACAAACAGCATCATACTCTTGTATACTATGGTATATAAGGAGTTTCAGGTTCATCACACTTTCTTCTGTCTAATTATTTTCTCATTAATTTAAATTTCATCCTTACAAGATGTCGACAACTTCCGTACTTTCGTATGACAAACTGAAGAGATTTCAGGAATAAAATTTCATTTATAATAATTTGAAACATATTTTGTTTTAACAAAATATAATGGATTTTTTATTTATTATATTATAAAAAAAATATTTAATTTAGAGATATTACATAATGAAATAAATATTATGTAATGATTATAAAATAAGCATTAATTAATTATTACTTAAACAATTAAAGGTAATAAAAGTATTTAAAATTTAAATAAAATTTTTTAATTTTGTTTTAAAAGAGGATTAAATTTAAATTGGTCAAAGAATAAAAAGAATGACGAGAAAACCTATAAAACGTTACTTGACCTATCGGGTTAACAGATAAGCAAAATACTGTTCTGTCTGTGATTACTGTTCTGGATCATGTGTTTTTGACGTGACACTCTATTGTGTTGCAAAAGTTTTTCTTCGCGATAACAACGATCTTTTTGTCGCGTGCGTGAAGCAGGTGACTCTACAGATCTACGGACAGAATGTCTTCGGCAACCTATATACCGATAGAAAGTCTAGATTTTTTCTCACTAATTTTGAGTGACCTTCACTTAATGCACACGAATCGTAATTAAAGTTAAAATATCTCAATATACTTGTCGAATATTTTTCTAATCAATTAATCTTAAATTTAGTATTCTTTCTCACTCTCTCGTAAAGAAATAAATAAAGAATCACCTAAAATTATTTTGAAAAATACGCTAGACGGAAAAAGACCATACACTTTTACTTATTACTCAAAGGTTATTTGAATTTTCACGCATGATTCAACTCGTGGTCCATCGCGCTTTCGAAAACACTCTTTTTATTATTATAAAATATTACGCTTGGCTAGCTACTTAGATACTCGTCTCGTTTAGAAAATGGCTTATCGTTGAAAGAAATTAATCGGCGTAAGTAAGTAACCATAATGAATTAAAAGATACAGTTATTTTCTCTATAATTGCTGTCTTCTGATAGCGCCGTTAATAGTATACGAATGTTTAGAGAAAGTTGCTCGACCTTATGCTTGATATTTTTTACGATGGAGTATCGATTATGCGCTTTATTACTCTTGACATATTCGTCGTGACAACTTCCAAAAACGATGATGTAAAAAAATAACTGCATCGACAAGTAATTAATTTACGACTGGGTTAATCATGTTAATCATGTCTTATTTGTGGAATTAAATAATTTGGCAATTAAGACTTGTAAATTAAGAATTGTATAATATCGCATTTACTACTAGAAATACCATGCAATTGTAAACTTTCTCGCCTTAGAGCAACAGAAAATTGCTTGGAAAGCGCACAAAGCACGGTAATATCAAGTGATCTATGTAATACCCATAAAAAAGTAAACGGCGAAAGTGTTATTTTGCATGTACTGCAATATTTACGTCAATTTCAACGCGGGACATGGCTTAAAGGCGCGATAAGATCGCCTTAAGATAAGCGCGAATCGTAAAATAAGAAAACACTTTCTCATGTTATATTTTGCGTTATGATTATTATTAGCATTTTTAATATCCCTCATTTTTACTAAATCTAAATTTTGCTGATACATAGCTAAATTTAAAATTTACATATACGTTGCATGCAAAATTTATGCAGAACAGAAATTTTATTTTATGTTGAAATATCTAAAAGTTTAGATACAGATTTGAAAATAATTTTGTTGGATTATCAAAATAATTATTAGAACGCTTTGATAAAAATGCTGCAAAAAGTATTATTTTCTAGCAACCAGTTTCAATTTTCTACATAATTATTTTCATGGGGTTTAAAAAAATATTATTTTTAGATTTATATATCTAGTTAAATTTTTATACGTTTCAGCAAAGCACTCTTTTTGTGTATTCTTCTAAATAATTTTATAATTCATAATTTAAATATATTATGGATGTTATTAGCCGCAGAAAAATTGTAGACAATACCCAAACTAAGATTTCCAAAAGTCATGACGCTTCTATTTTCATTTGTAGTGAGAGCAATTTATGGTATATGGTGAAATAATGGGAAGTGATGTACAGCTTGAAACCTTTAACATCAATGACTTTCTTCTACGCGGAAACAATAACGCTGCGTCCGAAATTCATTGCAGTTTTATACCGTTCGAACTTCAATTTCCCCGTCTTCATTTCAAACACCGCATTTCGTTTCTAATAACAGCTGCTTGATGACGACGGAAGGGGTGAAAGCGATGGTTTTACGCTACGCTCAAATGATATTTCATTGTGCGATAGGCAGTACTTACTGTCTTCAGCAACTGCTAAATGTTACCACAGTGGCGTACGATACGCGACGCCATCGTTAGAAGTCGTTTATTAGGTGCGCGTTAAATTGTTTCAGAGAAGTCGTGAATAAAATATAATTTCTCGATATTTTAAGAATTACCAGCCTACTTTCGTGAGAGGATGAGTATTATGATATACAGAACACTCGTCCTAGGAATTAAGCCTTTAGAATGTTTCATCACCAACAAGATTCGAGATTATAATATATTTTCTTCGCTTTTTTAATAGTTGAATTATTATACTTTCACAAGAACATCAAGTTAATTTTTCAAAAATGTAATATTATTTCGAAAAAAATGATCTAAGGTTACCTAGCTGATAATAAGATATACTAGTATAACAGTATTTAGTATTTCAAGTATTTGTGACTATATAATTGCATAAAATACTTTTTATCATGCAATTACTTAAACTTCTCTTTTAATATATAATAAGAATATTTAAAATTCTCAAAATTTATAAAACACATATTATAGCATAAATATTAAAAAAAATTTCGCATCAATATATAATGCTATTTAAAATTAATAAAAAAGCTAGACAATTTTCATTGTATCTTTGACTGCAATGCTTGTCACTTTATAAAGTGGATTGACAGACAGGTTGATCGATATACACGACTTCGCTGCAAGTTTTTTGCTGATCTATAAATCAGCATTACGTGACCTGATGTTACCATCTAGGAATGATCAGAATAAACACTATGAAACCGTGAGAACGTAAATTCGGATGTAGAGGCAAGCGTGGGAAGAACTAACAATTGGAGGGAAAGCGAAACGGAAGCAGTTTATCGAAATTTTCTATAGAATCATATGGTAAATTTTTTGGAAAAATACATTTTAATTCTTAAAAAATCATGTATATATTATCTTTAAAATATAACATAATCGGATGCAACATGCAACTATTAAGTTATATCTTAAAGGTAATTTATGTGCGCCTCTCTCTCTCTCCCTCTCTCTCTCTCTCTCTTCCTAAAACGGGACATTCGCAGATAAATGAGTTTCTCAGACAATTCTTACGTGGCGCCGGTCCCATTCTGGAAACAGGTTTACTCTTATTTTTTAATCGCTATTTTAAGATTTCTTTGAGTCTGATCGTATCATTCTTCTCTTTCCGGATTCGCGTCCGAATCGCGGACAAGTGAAATGCCGTCGACCAGAAGAGACCCAGAAAATGTGGGTCGCGCCTTATGAATCTCCATGTTCGCAAAATTATGCTAATTAGAACGAAACAGATTGGAGATTTTTAATACATATATTATATTTTTAACATATATTATAAAAATATCTATTCTGTAAAATATTATAAGCAATTGTTAATGATAAAATAAAGAAAATGATATTTTGTGGTTTTTGAATTATCACATAATTTAATTACACTGATTTACAAGGTTTCTGTTTCTCAATGTTTAAACGGTATTTTTTTAGCTGTTGAATAAAAAATTTCCATTATTCATATAGATTTTGAGAAATCAATCCTTACTGTGGAAAAAATTACTACATACTTGAGGAACAAAACGTTAATTAAAATTTCAGATGTTTATTTTCTGTATAGGTATACGTATATTTTGTTCTAATACACTTACTGCCAGTTTTCATACTTTTTCGAATATATGTGATTTCAAACTGAAACGAAACATGTTTATATACGAACTAAAGTGGAACAGAGACGACTGAACAACTTATCTTCATAATGATCTAATCTCGTATTCCGGTACCCTGAATATCTAAATATTCTAACGATCTGTAGCTGGAAAATAAGGAAGTTGTGATTCAGCATAGTGAGGTTATACATGGCTTTCTTATAACACTCGATTTCTAAAAGATTACGATGATAAGCATCTTTAAGAAAAAAATTAGATAAGGTATGATATTGGGTGGCGTTATGAATGAAAGTGGAACGCAGGTCATTCATAGATATTTCTTTGATTGCGCTTTGATTCTTAACTCCCATGGATTAGAAAGGAGCGCACGTAAGGGTTATGACTACCAGACTCTCGGAAGATTTTGCGGCGAAAGTCTTTCGATGAAGATAACCGGACGTTTACATTTTTGTTGCCGTCGTGC